TTTTTTATAAGGGGGACGAAAAAGAGAGTAGAAAAGAAAGGGAATGGGGTAGGGAAAAGACACACGATCTAACACCTCTCAATGAAAGCCAAAATCTTCAGCCTTTAACCACCGAGTCGAGCCAAGGCCTTTAGAGCCCCGAGCAAGCACGAGCAAAAGCCCCAACACCATTTTCGTTTTTTGGTGAAGGTTAGCTTGTTCTATCTTTTTATCCTAGTTGTTACATGATATTTTAAGATTTATCATGTAGAGAAATCATGTTTTGCTCGAGTAGAAAGAGAGATTTGAATTTTTGAAGTTTTAAGCCTTAAATCGGATATTTAGTAGCAAGCATGTTTAGCCTGAATTTGATAGCTTAGAAATCCTTATAAATCTTGACTAATATGATGTTAAAACAAGTTCCTAAAATAAGTTAGGGTGCTCAGTCATCTAGAGCTCGATTTTTTGAGAAAATAAGCCTTTGTGCCATTTTATTATGCATGCAAGCAAAAGCTAAGAATGTAAGCTCTAAGATCATGATTTATACCCTATAACTCTCGGCCATTAAGAGCTTATGGAAATAAGAAGAAGTTCTAGTGACCTAAGTAGGGTCCGGGCCACCTAGGCCCTTCCCGAGCTACGAGAAAATCTAGTCGAGCACCCCCAAGCCACTTATGAAGTCCTTATATCACAAAATGATGAGCTAAGCTAAAAAGAGGTGGGTAGTCACCGAAAAAAGTCGTCGGACGTCCAGCAAGGACCGGAAGTGGGAGCTACCGTGCACAGCGCGCGTGCAGCACACCTGATGCGTAAGTGGGTTGCGACTCTCGAATGAAAGAAGGACCAAGGGCCGATTGTAACACCCCGCTATTTCATTAAAATCAGAGTGCGTTTTTAGCAAAGTTTTTCAAAATAAAAACATTTAATTTGCGAAATACTGATTCGGAGTGCTACCATAAAACATGACTGAATCTGAAAAACCGGTATTTTAATTTTAAAGAAAACAAACGGTTTAGCATAACATATTAACCGACTGAAGTCGGATCAAAAGCTAAGTTCGACAAGTAGTCGTAATCAGCGGAAAGACGTAGCGTCGCCAAAACATTTTTAAACACATGACCAAAATCCTGAACCGACGGCCAGCTCACTCCTCGCTCCGACCCTGTGACCTGAAAAACATGAATAATGTGGGGGCATGAGCACTAAATCCACTGTGCTAAGCAGAAAATCATACTAAAGTAAACAGTGAAAATAATTACAATATCATGATCCTGGCATATATAACTGAACTGAACTGAAACCGGTACTGAATAATCATGATCTGATACTGATGGTGAGATAATCATCACCTGCCTGATACCTGAACATCTGCCAGCATAAATGCCGGACACCATGTGCACACTCTAGTGGGCAGACTAAGGCCACTAGAACCCAGAATGGACCGGTGACCATTCCGAGCGGATACATGCCATGATAATACATACCTCAAACATGGTAGAATAATTATAATCAATGTAATAACCAGTCTGAGTTTCCACCTGAACTGCTGATCTGAAAATGTAAGTGTTGATTGCCTACAAAACTGTGACATATATAAACAAATACTAAGTACTATGCTCAGACTCATTAAAATAGCTGTTAAGATGCTCGACTAAACTGACATGAATTAACTGGACTTATTGACATGAACTAGGGCTCAACATAAACTGACTGAATTTGAAACTGAACTTAACTAGCATGACTTATTGTTATTGAACTTAACTGATATTACGGAACTAAACTGATACTGCTAAACTGAACTGAACTGACTGCACATGACTGAACATGACTGAACTGACAATTTAACTAAAATACTAAACTGAACTGACTAAATGACTAGATTGAAAATATTGAACTGCGAACTTAATTGATTATACTGAACTGACTGACTAGATCTGGTACTTAACTGAAATATCTAACATAAATACAAACCGGATCAATAAATATGGAAACTTGAGCTGAACCGGTCTGAATCGGCCGGTTCGCTGGCTGGTCGGACCGCCGGTCTGCTGTGGCCGGGCGGTCGGCCGCTAACTTGGCCAACTGGCTCGGTATCGCGTGGGGCTGCTAGCACCTAGGCGCGGTCGCTGGCGTGGCCTGGGCTCGGCCTAGGCATGGCCGAGGCTCACTGGACATGACTGGTTGCGGTACGGGCGCTTGCGCACTCTGGCGTGTGACTGGTGCTATGTACACGCACTTGGAGTGACTATCGGGCACAACAAATCGCTGCCGAGGGCGGCTAGACGTGATCTGGGCTGTTGGCGTGCAACTAACACATTGCGGACATGACGCGGGACACTGGCGTGCATATCATGCGCACTGGCAGGCCCTTGCGTACTGGCTGGTTGCTACTGTACGCACAAAATTGCTACTAGC